TATTGCCAGGACACTATGTTGTGGGGCATATATTGCTGCTTCTCTGAATAGCAGCAACGTAGGCACCTACCATCTGCTGCCTACTGATTGTTGCTAAATCTAACAAATGTTAGCCAGCATGAAGTTGGCTGGACAGGGCACATCCTTTAGCATACGGTGAAGCACAGGCTTAGCAAAGGAATTTCCTATTCACAAACACTTTACTGTTAAACAAGCCACAACCGAGTTACAGATGTGTGGAAATCAACAAACTCTTAAACACAACCACCATGATCTGATCTTGATACCCTTGTGAGTCCTTGGTCCTTAGGCCAGGCAGCCCTTCCAGCTGTATTTCCAGGCCATCTTGCTTCAGGTGCAGAATGGCTTCCCTTGCTTAGAGAAACAGCCTTCTTTCTACCATATTGCACCCACCCACATCAATGGGTCGGGGAAATTGATGGGGTTGGCAGTGAAAAGGGAACAGTCCCAGTAGCATGGGAGGGAGACACTCGCTCAGCAACAATAGATAGCTCTTCCCCATGGAATCTGTGGCACCTGCTGGCCAGCTGGGGAGAGGGATGCTGATTGGCCAGAATTCCCTAGCTCCCAGGATTTAGCCCACTGGAGGGGCCATGTAGCACCTCTTTCAGCTCTGTTCCAGCAGCCCACCTTACCCCCCAAACTAGGAATGGGAACCTGGCCTGACAGATGCTGCAGGTCTAGCCAACTGCCTGTTTTGGGGGTCAGGGAGGATTTTTTTCTCCTGTGGGCCAACTGACGAAGGACCAGGGTGTATACTGCCTTCCTTACAACACCTGCACACCACAGTGGGTTAAGTAGCAATGTGCATGGTATCTATCTGAGGTACTCATGTAGTGGTTTTTACTTGCTGCAACTTGTGGCTAGTTTCCAGTGTGGTTAAGAGAATAAAATGAATGGTTCCCAGAGGTAAAAGACCTGGGATTTTGGTGATGGGCCTTGGGCTTATGTGATAGGGTGAGACTTTGTGGCCTTTACAGGCTAAGGTCAGACCTTGTGGCCCTTGTAGGCCAAGTGTCCACCCTGCTGCATCCTCTGTCCCCCTCATGAGGAGAGAAGGGTGTTAGGACTAAGAATGAACTGAGTCGTGGAGGGTAGGCGGAGTAGAGCCTGCCCTGCATTTTGGGATATATGGTAAGGAGCTCTGTAACTCTGCTGCCAGTTACGGGTTATATGGTAAGGAGCTCTGTAACTCCTGCACTGGAACCAATTAAATGCCTGGTATAGTATGGAAAGTATGGGTGAGGGGCGAGTAACACCCCTGCCTTGTGTTAAACTCTAATAAAAGTTGCAGTGTGCTACTTAGTTCCATGTATGTGTCAGTCCTCAATTTGCCACTATGTCCACATC